GCTGCTGCTCTAGAAGCAATGGCTCATGCAATAGAAAATCAGCCGAATGCTGACGGGAATGCTGGATCTCGTAGCTTGGCGACTTTCCAGAGAAAGAATCCACCTACGTTCAAGGGAAAATATGATCCTGATGGGGCATTGGAATGGTTGAAAGAGATTGAGAGGATCTTTCGTGTGATGGACTGCACCCCAGCGCAAAAGGTTCGTTATGGGACTCATATGCTAGCAGTCGAGGTTGATGACTGGTGGTTAGAGACTTTCCAGAAGTTGGAAGCTGCAGGTGAGAATGTCACTTAGGCTGTGTTCCGTAGGGAATTTTTGAGAAAGTATTTTCCTGAAGATGTCCGTGGTAAGAAGGAAATCGAGTTCCTTGAGCTGAAGCAAGGAAGTATGTCTGTTGTTGAGTATGCTGCCAAGTTTGCTGAGTTGGCCAAGTTCTATCCGCATTATGCTGAGGAAAATGCTGAGTTTTCAAAGTGTATTAAGTTTGAGAATGGGTTGCGCTCGGAAATTAAGAAGGAAGTTGGATACCAGAAGATCCGTGTCTTTGCTGATCTGATTGATAGCTGCAGGATTTTTGAGGAAGATAATAATGCACATTACAAGATTATTAGTGAGAAGAGGGGTAAGCACCCGCAGAATCGTGGTAAACCTTATGATGCCCCAGCTGGTAAGGGTAAGCAGAGGGTTGCTCATGGTCAGAGGACTAGTGGGGGAGATGCTCCTGCTGGTGTGATTTGTTTTAAGTGTGGGAAACCTGGACACAAGAGTAATGTGTGCACTACTGAAGTGAAAAGATGTCATCGTTATGGTAAGAACCGACATATTGTATCTGAGTGTGAGCACAAGAATTTGGTTTGTTTCAATTGTAAGGAAGAAGGGCACATTGGTAGTCAGTGTCCGAAGTCGGAGAAGGCTCAGTCTAGTGGTAAAGTGTTTGCTTTGGTGGAGGATCAGACAGCTTCCGAGGACAGACTTATTAGAGGTACATGTTTCATTAATAGTACTCCTTTAATTACTATTATTGATACTGGTGCTACGCATTGTTTTGTTGATGCTGATTGTGTTGAAAGATTGGGTCTTGTGTTGTCTTCTTTGAATGGAGAAATGGTCGTTGATACTCCATCCAAGGGATCGGTGACTACTTCTTTTGTGTATGCATGTTTGACTTGTCAGAAGTCGAAAGTTGAACATCAGAAGCCTGCAGGATTGATGAAATGAAGACTCTGAGGGGCAAAGAGATTGCATTGGTTAAAGTGGTTTGGCTAGGAGCTGCAGGAGAAAGCATGACTTGGGAATTTAAGAGCAAGATGCGAGACTCATATCCTGAATTGTTTGATTGAGGTAAATTTTTGAGGACGAAAATATTCTAAGTGGGGGAGAGTTGTAACGCCCGTAATTTAATTAATTATTTAATTAAATTATTTTTAGAATAATTGTGAAGAAGTGTTATTAAATTGGATTTATTTTATTAAATGGAGAAATAATAATATATTTGAGGTATTATATTATTATGTGAAATAATGTTAGAAGCTAATATTATTTAATGTGAGTCTATATGGTGTGAGTGGAAGTAATAAGGGGGTGTAGGTTTTGAGCCTAATAAGGAATAATATAATAATATTAGGTTATTTTATTATTTATTGAAAGAATAGAAAGAAGCAGTAAGAAGATAAATAAGGATTTGAGGAGAACGTGAAGCTGCTGGATTTTGAAGGAAACGGAAAGAACAAAGATTTAACCCGGAAATTGTAGAGCGACCTTCGATCCAAGGTAAGGGTGGGGTTCTGGCTTTATAATTGGGTTCATGATGTTTGATATATGGGGTTAGATGTAATTTCTGTTTGTTCTTGAATAAATTGCATTATGAATGATGTATGATGAATTTTGATGATTTTTTGATGAATAAGAATGTTATTATGTTGTTTGATCAATGGAGTAATAAAGTATAATGATTAGGTGATGAATTACGATGATCATAATAAGGTTTTTAGGGCTGTGGTATGATTCCCGTAGCAAAATACAGTAGAAAACACAGAAAAATTATGCAGACTGTCGAAGGATGTGTCGATCCCAAGCTGCATGTATTGATGCATGAAGGATATTCGACTCAGGATGAGTCAATGCATGCAGGGCTTGCGTCGATGCATGTTAAGTATAAGACTCAGGATGAGTCGACGTGAAGAGAGGATGTGTCGATGCATGATGAGTACAAGACTCAGGATGAGTCGACGCGAAGAGTGCATGTGTCGATACATGCTGTATTGGAAACCAGAATGAGTCGGTCCATAAGAAGGATGTGTCGACTCATAGTATACAGATGAAGGAGGATGTGTCGATCCATAGTGTTTCGTGTCGATACATAAAGTCTGATTTTTGACAGAATTGACTTCTAATTGTTGTAACTTGAGTTGTAGGATGTTGTTTGAGATGTCGTTCGAAGCGTTGATTAGCTAATGTGATGAACTTTATTCTAGAGGATTAAAATGATGGATAAGAAGTGTAATCCTAGTAACTAATTTAGAATTTAGAATAAATTCTCGTAGATGACCGTTATGCTGGATTTTGGACAGAATGATGAATTTTGAGATCTTAGAGGCTGCTGTTAGAATTATGATAGTAGGATTTAGTGATAAAAATGATGTGCAGTAGCAGAATAACAATATGGATTACTGTATTATTGATATACAACTGATTTATTAGTAAGATGTGGTTAATCAAATGATATTTGATAAATAAGTAATGTTTACTAAATAATTTTGAGATGTTTACGAGATGCTGTAATTGAGATGTTTATGAGATGTTGTTGTTCTGAGATGTTTATGAGATGCTGTTGTTTGAGATGACTGAAATGTTATCATTTTGATGATTGAGATGTTGTTGTTTGAGATGTGTTTTGAGATGTTGTTAACTGAGTGTGTTATTACATTCATGTTGAGTCGCATACATTGCATTTTTTTAAGATGGAGCTTATGCTCGTTGAGATGGTCTGGATTGGCAAATTTTGAGATGAAGGCTATGCCTTGTTGATGCCTCTATTAATTGGCAGATTAGATTTTTGAGATGGGAGTTCTGCTCCAATAGTACCACATGCATTTGCATGGTTTTGAGTCGCATCATATGAATGAGTAATGAGATGTATTTGATGTTGATGAATGAGTATATATATGCTGTAATTGTTGTTGATTATGAGATGAGAAGTGGTGATATTATTGATCTAACTTAATATATTAATTATCATGCGCTTTATTATATTGTTAGATATCTCACCCCTTCTGTTTGAATGTTGCCCCTATGCTGGTAACGTGCAGGTAATCGAGAATGAAGGTTGTATACCTTCAATAGATCAAGCCAGTGTTATTGCTCTGATATGTAACACTCGGGGGGATGAACGCTTGCTGATTTTTGCTTGCTGATTTTTAGTTGTTGAACTTTAAATTGTTTATTTACTAAATATGAGATGTTTCGAAGTTGCTTTTTTATTTAAAGATGTTATTGAAGAATTCCGCTGCGTAGTTGTTGAATTATTTTATTAAAGATACTATATTGATGGTTCATCCGATGTTTTATTAAAAGTGTTATATATCCATGATGAATGCAATAAATTTATTAGAAGAATTTGTGACGTCCCAATTCGTTTGTATGAATGAAATTTTATAACTCTGATTTATTTTGCATAATTTGTTTTGCGTAGAATTGGGGTGTTACAGTTAGCGTTGTTGTTGTCAGCGTCGGCGAAGTGAACGTTTTGGTCACCGTTGTTAGCTTGGTCGGTCATGATGATCGGAGGGTTGAGAAAGAATTGTTTTGGTCTTAAGTAAATGAAAGACGAGAAAATTGTTTCTCACATACGACACCACTGATCGTACCTGATCAGAAGGGATTGTCAAGGCCCACGAACTTCAAGTTGAGCAGCGGTTGAATGTGGAGTGGGGGGTACCTGCAAGATACTCTGATGTCAAAGTAAGAGTCTAGACAATCAGAGTGCAAGTAACAGAAGTGAGGTAGAATGAATGAATACCTGACTCTCTCATGTGAGAGGGTATTTATAGTCCCCAGCGCTGAGTCAAGATCCATGTATCGGGCCAAGTGATTTGGATCCAATAACAAAGACTGTCAGGGTTACATGGGTAATGGAGTCCAGCACGTGGCTCCTTCCCTGATAAAGCGCCCCGAAAATATAGGAGCAGTGGACTCGTTATTCTCGAAAGGCAAGTGGGGGTTGATGCGAATGTTGACCACGTTTCTTAATGGACACGTGGGAGAAATCTCCAACGACTATCTGACTTGGACCTGAAGTTATTGGGCCATAGGCAGAGGCGCTGATATTGAACCTGACCATGTGTGGACCAAGTGCCCGCTCGGCTCAGAACAAAGCCCAAGCCTTATATTTTATTGGGTTTTTTGGGGCAGGCATTTTTACTGTTAATCGAATAAATCAACTTGGGTCTAAAGTTGAGTTCAAACTCATAACTTCCAAGTTAAGTAAGATATCTTTTATCATTTCATTAATTTTAATATTGGAAAACAATTTAATGTAAGTATTCACTTAATACCTTCACAAACACTATTCTTATAATATGAAAATTCAGTTAAAAACTCAATTTGTAAACTGAGTGTTGTTAATTAAACTACTTTATATAAATCTTTTTTCTTTCTTTCTTATGTTCACTCCTTTGAATTGCCATAAATAGTTGTTACTCGCCACTTTTATTTGCATTCTAGCTTTTCAATGGTTACAGGTGCATAATCATTCAACAGTATTGTTCTTTGAATTCAATCTTTGTTGGTTATGTTAGGTTAGGTAATAAGAGTAGTTACAGAGAGATTTTAATATGATACCTAGCAATGCCAAGATGATATATAAAGATGTGAGTTGTGACAAGAAGATTAAGCATAAATCAATTAGGCCTAAAGGCATACACATTATTTACTCAAGGATTATGAATATCTTTGAGTCTATACCTTCCAAATTTGGAACAAATGAAACTACCAAATCTCTATTTCGAGTTGTCATCGACAGATCCCTTCGGGCCTCGAGGTCTATACTTGTACCTCTTGGAAACAAACAAATAGACAAAGAAGTTGATCAAGCTGACAATGGAAAGAAACAAGTAGAACAGGTTTAGATGATTCCTGTTAATATTATTCCCTACTAACCAACCCCCACTTTTAGTATGCTTTGTGGCACCATTGATACACTTAACCACTATGGTACTTAGAAAATATCCAAGTGCCATAGAGGTCCAAAGGAAACAAGTTGATGTAGATTTGAGTCCATTCGGCGCCTCTGAATAGAAAAACTGAAGGAGACCAATATATGTAAACATGTCCGCTATGCCGAATATGAAATACTGAAAAGAAAGCCAGAATGTGGTTATTGGCAATGGCTGAAGTACTGGAAATGCATCAAGCATGTTGTTATCGTTCGCCACTCTTTTCCTTTTCACTTCTACTATTGAAGCTACAGCCATGGATAACGAAGCGAGTATTAGGCCAACTCCGATACGTTGGAGGTGTGTTACACCGGTGGGAATACCGGTGAATTTACGTAGGACGGGAACGAAAATGCGGTCGTAGATTGGTACGAGAATGATTAAGAACATGATTGGGATGATTGGGAGGGATGCAGGTGGGATGTGGAAGTGTTTGGTGAAGCTTGTGTCCATTGTGTAGCCTTGTTCAATTGAAAAGGTTTGTAGCTGAGCTAGACAAAGAGTCATTATAATTGTGCAGCAGAATATTGGGACCATGCTGAGAATTATTTTCGCGTTTTCGACTTGGGTGACCCTGCAAAGTTTCCATGGACTTATACTTGAAGCCTGTGAATGTGATTTCTCTAACTGTATATCAGGTTCTGAATGTATAGCTGCTCTGTCCAAGAACCTGTCGAAACGGAACTAAATTTTAGATTTTGATATGTATGTTTCGATTATGTGTAGAATTGAAAATTTGAACCTGAAAATGTCTCTATGAGGTAGAAACTCGATTTCCACGTCAGCTTCCTTGTCCTGCTCAATCTCATATAATTCTGTTGGATCTTCGGGCAAGGGAAGATTTCTGTTGCGGATTGCAGCAACATAGACCTGGCAAAAACAATGCAATATCATATGCTCCTCAGAAACCCCATAAGTTAATCGGTAAAATTGACGAAGGCCTAGATAGATACCTGTATGATCTCAATGAGACCACTAGTTCCTTTGGGAACTTGAATTCTGTATAGCGGCAATCCAGAAGCAAAGATTATGGTACCGATAAATATAGCTATGGTGCCGATGCCAAAGCCCCAATCCCATCCTTTGTTTATTTGTATCCATACAATGAATGTTAAGCTAACAGAACCACCCAAACAAACCGCAAGCAATAGAGTGTTGAAGAATGTGGACATTTGCTTTGCTTCTTTCGGGTCAGTTTCGTCAAACTGATCTGCACCATGCGATGGCAATGCAGCTTTGGTTCCTGCACTACCAAATGCCAACAAGTATAGGCCAAGAAACAGAAGAGCTTCTTGGCCTCTACTTGGTGTCTTACAATGAGCGGTTGCATCATTGATATTGCAAATGTGCGGCTGTAGACTAGGATAGTGTGCTTGCGCTGTAAGCAACGCAAGACCCTGCAACATGAAACACAGAAACATAACATCATGAATATGTATTCAAGAAGAAGCTCATCCTAGAATTTGGCTTAAATGTTGAAGAGGTATTGAGAGAGGAATTTTGGATCTTACCAAAAACTCAAAGAAGCCCGAAAATATAACAGATTTGTATCTGCCAATCCATGTATCAGCAACAACCGCCACCAAAATCGAGAGTATGTAACTAACACCCATATAGTTGGTGAGCATGTTAGCTGCATCTTCTAGTTCATAATGCATGATTCCATTGAAATAAGGAACCGAGTTCACAGCTAGTGAGAAAGTTCCCAAGTTTTCCAAACCAAGTGTAACTGCACTCAAACATAAGAGAAAATCATATAACTGTTTATCTTTCTAAATTCAATGATACTTACAACTGCGAAACCATACTGCAATTATTGAAGATTCAACTTCGTTCGCACGACGTAAAAGTTCATTTTTATAGTTAGTTATCACTAAAACACATGACAATATCTTTACCTAATATGAGCAAAGCAACTCTCATCCCTCCATATTTGAACTTCAAAGCACTTCTTCCTTTCCAATCTACTTTATTTTCATCAACAAGATTAAGCTCTTCTGCCAACTTCATATCAACAAACTCAGACTTGTTCTGCATGGACAAAATTGAAGAAAAAAAACAATAACAATAAATAAGTACTAAGAGGTAAGAAAATGGAAGAAGGTGAGGTACATATGGCACATGAAAAACATAGAAAAATGTAATACCATGGCTATGCAGAGAAAAAAACTAAACTGGCCAAATTACAATGACAACATAGAAGACCAATGTTTGTTTATTTATACACATTATATTCAATTAAACTAAGCATTATTTACAATGTCACAAATATAATAAAAGCTTAAATACATGTTATCACAACTAATCATGTTTGATGTTGGAAATCCACCTAATACTATGATGAATTTCGACCAACTGTGATGATTAGTTATGAGAAAAACAAATAAAAGAAGATAAAATAAATATTTCTGCAGAGTTTCTCTCTGCCCACAAACTGTTGAAAACTTTCTTAATCACTTGCAACTGTAAATTCTATGATTACAATTGAATTGTCTTGCTTGACTTACTTTCAAAATAGGGGTTACTCCCTCTATTTATAACTGAGCTTACACCCTAAGCCCAAGGCCCAAAATATCTTTTTGTTACTAAATCAAATCTAATCAAATCTATTCTAGACTTAAATCAAATCTATTTAAATCTAAAACAAATCAAATCTTCTTTGACACATATGAATTACAATTTAACACACCACCTAATTCATTGTGTCTAAATTGTCTATGTTCATCATGGTCCTTATCTTTCTGAATACTTCGACTTGCACTCCCTTCGTCATGATGTCTGCAATCTGATTCTCAGTTCTGCAGTGTTCCAAATTCATCTTCCCATCTGCTACCTGCTCTCGAAGATAATGGAACCTCATTTCGATGTGCTTACTTCGACCATGTGCTATTGGGTTCTTTTCCAGATTAATAGCTGACATGTTGTCTATCTTCATGGTAATTGCTCCATGATCTTTCCCTGTTATCTCTTCGACCAAGTTCACCATCCAGGTTGCTTGACATGCACAAAGAGAAGCAGCTATGTATTCTGCTTCGCATGATGATAATGCCACTACTGGTTCGTTTCTCGAATTCCAAGCAATTGGTGCACCACCTAGCATAAATACATATCCTGCTGTTGACTTTCGACCTTCAGCATCACTACACCAACTCGAATCAGTGTATCTCACTAACTTGCATTCTTTTCCTTTATCAACTGCAGGAAACAAAATGCCATAATCGAAAGTTCCTTTGAGATACCTTAGTATCCTCTTCACTGCTACTAGATGTGATACCTTTGACTTCTGCATGAATCTACTTACCATACCTACACTGTATGCTAAGTCAGGCCTTGTATGACAAAGATATCTTAATGATCCAATAAGTCTTATGTATTGGGTTGGATCAACATCATCTTCATCTGCATCTTTCGACAATTGCAGTCTTGGTTCTGCAGGTGTAGAAGTTGAGTTGCATTCTTCCATCTCAAACCTCTTGAGAATTTCTCCTGCATATCTTCTTTGATGCATCATCAAACCTCTACTGCTCTTGTAGAATTCGATACCAAGGAAGTATGAAATCTCACTCAAATTAGACATTTCGAATTCCTTACTGAGATCACCTTTGAAGTCTTCGATCTCACTCTTGCAGCTACCTGTTATCAACAAATCATCTACATAGAGACATAGTATAAGCAATTTACTCTTGCTTCTTCTTACATATACTCCATGTTCAGTTGTGCACTTCACAAATTCCTTCTCCCTTAGAAAACTATCAATTTTCTTATTCCAAGCCCTTGGAGCTTGTTTCAAACCATACAGGGCTTTATGTAGCCTGTACACCTTTCTTTCTTCGTCATGTTTCACAAACCCAACTGGTTGTTTAACATAGACTTCTTCATCTAAGGGTCCATTTAGGAATACACACTTCACGTCCATCTGACATATGTGCCAACTGTTTATTTCTGCTAGACCAACAACCAACCTGATTGTTTCGATCCTAGCAACAGGTGCAAAAACTTCGTCGAAGTCTATTCCCTCTTTCTCTAGAAATCCTTTCGCCACAAATCTTGCTTTGTGTCGAGTTACTTCACCTTTCGAATTTGTTTTCACTTTGTATACCCACTTGACATCAATTGCCTTCTTGCCTTGAGGCAATTCGACAAGTGACCAAGTATTGTTGTCTTCGATAGACTTTACTTCTTCGTTCATTGCTTTCACCCACTTCGAATCCTTTAATGCTTCAGCTGCATTAACAGGTTCGACATCTGCATAGAAAGCATAATGTACCAGCTCACCTTCATTATCTATTACATCATATGATGTAATCACACAATCTTGCAATCTTGCAGGCATGCGTCTTGTTCTTTGAGGTCTGCTTGTACTTGGTATATCTGCTGGTTCCTCTTGTCGAACTTCTCTTTTGACTTGAGTTTCTGGTTCTTCGAATAGGATTCCCACTGAATCTTTCTTGACATTTGCAGTCCAATCCCATTCTTTAAACTCATCTATGATCACGTCCCTGCTGATCACAATCTTCTTGTTCTCTGGATCGAACAACTTGTAGCCTCTTGTCGAATGATATCCAACTAGAATCATTTGACTTGACTTATCATCAAGTTTTTTTCTCAACTAATCTGGCACATGTCTATGTGCAATAGATCCAAATACCTTCAGATGGCTCAAGTTAGGTTTCACACCAGACCAACATTCTTCTGGAGTAATTCCTTCTAACTTCTTTGTAGGACATTTGTTCAAAATGTATGTTGCAGTAGAAACAGCTTCACCCCAGAACTCTTTAGGTAAACTCTTGCCTTTCAACATACTTCTCACCATATTCATGATGGTTCGATTTTTCCTTTCTGCAATTCCATTTTGCTGTGGAGTATAGGGTGGCACCACCTCATGCACAATCCCTTCCTTTTCACATAATCTGTTGAAGTCTTTCGACAAATATTCTCCTCCACCATCAGTTCTCAAAACTTTGAGCTTTCGACCACTCTGTCTTTCGATCATAGACTTAAACCTGGTAAATACTTCGATCACTTCACTTTTCTTCTTGATCAGGTAAGTTCATAGCTTTCGACTGAAATCATCTATGAATGTAACAAAGTATTTGTTACCTCCCATCGAATCCACCTGGATTGGTCCACATACATCAGAGTATATGACTTCAAGACTAGCCTTCGATCTTCTTCCTGCATCCTTGCTGAAGTTATTCTTGTGTTGCTTCGCCTGCACACATTCCTCACATACCTCGTTTGGAATGTCAATTTCTAACAATCTTGAAACCATATTTCTTCTCTTCAAATCTCTAATGTCTCTGAAGTTGAGATGACCTAGTCTATAATGCCATATCCATTCATCTCTGCTAGCTGCAATCGAAAGGCACTTGTGCTCCATCACATTTAGTTCAATCTTGAAGGTTCGATTCTGAGACATAGGAGCCTTCAAGATTACTCTCCCATTTGCATCAACGACTCTCATCAACTTATCTTCGATTGACACTTTATAATTCTTTTCGACCAACTGCCCTATACTGAGCAAATTGCTCTTCATGCCTGGTATGTATAACACATTGGAGATTACTGACCTTTTGCCATCTTTCCTCATAATCATAACATCACTAATACCTTCAGCTTCCAGGGTATTGCCATTTGCAAATTTTACCATATTTTTCTTTGAGGGCTTTATATTGACAAATCAGTCTTTCCTTCCAGACATATGTCATGAACATCCTGAATCCAAGTACCATTGGTCCTTGAATCTATCTTCATCTCTTGTTGTGACCATCAGCATCATCTCTTCTTCTTCATGTTTTGCAAGCTTTGCATCACTTTCTTGATTCTTTCGTTTTTCTGGACAATCACTCGAATAGTGTCCATATTTCTGACAATTGTAACATTGAATGTGACTCTTATCAGGTTTTCGACCACCACCTCTTCCTCTATTTGCAACACCACCTCTTTGGTTGCCTTGGTATGGTCTTCTTTGATTCGACACGTCTCCTTCGATTTGGTTTCCTCTACCATTCGATTTGTTGTAGCCACCTCTACCTCTTTCGAAACACTTTCCTTTGCCTTTGGTCTCTTTTGCTGAATGTGCCTGCAAGGCCACATCACTCTTCGATTTTCCTACAGCTCTTTCGTTCATTCTTTGTTCATGAGATTCAAGTGTCCCTTGAAGCTCTTCCTTTGTCAATTTCGACAAGTCTTTCCCCTCTTCTATCGCCACCACTATGTAGTCGAACTTAGGAGCTAAAGATCTCAAGATCTTCGACACAACAGCTCTTGTTGTTAACGCTTCTCCACATATCTTGATTTGATTTACTAGTTTTGTAACTCTAGTGAAGAAATCAGATATGTTTTCACTGTCTTCCATCTGAAGCAGTTCATAGGTCCTTTTGTGAGTTTGTAACCTCACTTCTTTCACCTTCTCAGCGCCTCCAAAAGACTTCTCAAGGATCTCCCAAGCTTCTTTTGTAGATTCTGAATCACTAACCTTTTCGAAATTGTCTGGGCTGACACATTGATGAATTATAAATAATGCTTTATAACTCAGCTTCTCAGATTCTGTGTATTTCTTCTTTTCTTCTTTTGAAGCGTTTTCGCCAAGCGCTTCGACTCCATCTTTTACAAGGTCCCAAAGACCTTGACACATGAATAAGACTTTCATCTGTTTGCACCAATTCTCATAGTTGTCAACTTTCAGAATTGGTAGCGTTGCTGGATAGTTTGCATTCTCATAACTTGTCACTGTGAATTCTTCAATCGTTCTTGATTGACACTTCCCTTGAATCGAAACAAAAGCTCTTGATACCAGATGTTGGAAATCCACCTAATACTATGATGAATTTCGACCAACTGTGATGATTAGTTATGAGAAAAACAAATAAAAGAAGACAAGATAAATATTTCTGCAGAGTTTCTCTCTGCCCACAAACTGTGGAAAACTTTCTTAATCACTTGCAACTGCAAATTCTGTGATTACAATTGAATTGTCTTGCTTGACTTACTTTCAAAATAGGGGTTACTCCCTCTATTTATAACTGAGCTTACACCCTAAGCTCAAGGCCCAAAATATCTTTTTGTTACTAAATGAAATCTAATCAAATATATTCTAGACTTAAATCAAATCTATTTAAATCTAAAACAAATCAAATCTTCTTTGACA